AAAATACAATTTTAAACTTTATTTTTTATTTTAATATATACATCATCTGTACAGTTCGTTGCTTACTTTTTTACTTTACTACATCCAACCGAACGCTCACGTAAAATATCGTGGACAATGGGACGTTATAACTAGAGAAATAAATTGTTCAATATTAGAGACTGTGGTCTATTAAAAGCTAAATAATTAACTAACCACTAAAAACAATCGTAATATCGAGACATTAAAGTATCGTTGAAAAGCAGCTCTTTAATTTGACATTAACTTTATAAATGTAAGATACATAGAAAAAAAGTATTAAGCTATCAAAAAAGCATGAAAACGTCATGCACGGTGGGGTTGCAACTTAAGTTCTTTTCATCTACATCAGTCATCAAGACACCGAAGGAGAGGACTTATTCATACAGAATGCCACTAAAGCAATGCAGCTTCTTTACTGGTCAGGATAAACTCTCTTCTGTCAGTTTTCTTATTTTGTCACGGGAGCTTGGTCTAGTCCTTTCTTTTATAAATGTGTACTATTATGGAAAGTTCCAGGTCGTGCTCGGCTGTCGTAGTGTGTTCTGGTAAAGGTGCAGGGTACTTTATTCTTACCCCTTCGCTTTGTGGGCATCCTGTTGGCTCCTCAGCCGAGTTGCCCGACAACGAGACACGAGTGGCGGACTGCCGCATGTCTTACACCCTCGGGGAGCCGTGAACCAAGTCCAATTTTGAGCCCGGCAGAAATAAAACGCAAGACCGGGCAAGTCTTACAAGAGCGAACCGCACAAATAAACCACGAAGAACCTAAGATCAGAGCCAGTCGCCGATACCAGGAAGAACCACCGGAATTCGGTCTCCTGCCAGACAAAACCGAAGCGGACTAAGCCAAGGATGACAAACGTGTTGCAGCAGACCGCGTCCGCTCACACTGTTGTTTGCATGCCCGTCGCACGGTCTATTACAATGTTTTGCATCCTCAGGGGTTTTCTATTTTCGTCGTAACACACCATTACTCCAGATTTGTCACTACTAACACTGATGCTTAAGGTGTTCGCTTTCTCTCCACTAATTTCAACTAGTTCCAGTAAAGTATTCTGGTTATCTGCCATAAGGATAATGTCGTCCGCATACATCAGTCCTGGTCAACGTTACTAGAACCACTCAGTTGGGAAACTGCCATTGAGACTACTCTGAAAAAGTGGCCCCGATCTGTCCTCCCGAACCGAGTTAATGGCGACCACAACGCCACCATTTCTCCCGCAGCGGCCACTCGAGGAACTGCACGTTACTTCTATTTTGGCTTTAATCGGCCATTTTGGCACCGAAACAGATACAGCGGAAGAAGTTACAGGGGTGCCACCCCCGTCTCCCCAGCGGACGCGCCCCGAATTACTACCGAAGGTAAAATGCACCTAGGTCGGGACGCGACACCTGAGAGCACCGTTGAGGCATGGTTGCATAAAAACCATATTAATTGTTCCGCAAAACCTTGAGAACTAAAGATTATAAAAACATCATGCGCCCTTCATTTTGTACTAAACTCCAATAAATTTCATACAAAAAGAGTCATTTTTGTTTGGTTTTACGCAAAAACATGCTCTCTTAAAGCTCACGGTGACCACAGTACAGACAAATGATAAAGAGTGGCGCTGTTCTCGTATTTAGCTCGGTCTTGGTGGACGCCAGCGGCCCAGGTTTCGACGGCGAGTTTCCCAGCTGAGTGTTTTAGTAACGTTGGTCCTGGTGTTACCTGTACTACGTTTCTACGTACTTTCATATAACTCACATCAAAACCTAAGTTGCTCTGTTCTAATTTATTTCTCATTTTACTGAGATATATCATGAAGCTCAAGGCACTAGAACTATAATAGATATCGCCGCTACGCGGCAAAACGTGAACTTTCCCGACGAAGGCTATAGCAATTCGGCGCCAGAAACGGCCGCAAGGGAGTGGCGGTTACCCAGAACAGAATGGTAGGTTCACATTTCGGCTGCGAACACTAAACGCTAGAAACGAAGTAATATAAATTCTCAATATAATTTTTTGTTGGAGAAAACTTTCGTGGTCTCGTTGACGCTGCAACCTTTGTATGCAATGGGACGTTGACCTCGGTCAACGTCCCATTGCATACAAAGGCTGCAGCGTCAACGAGACCACGTTTTTAAAACCAAGATGGACCTCGGTCATTTCCGTCAAGGGTATTCATCGAGAATTTTATCGTTTGCGAGAACAGTTCGAGTGGCACAACACTCGTATCCAATACAGAAGCTAAATGCAACTAACGTGCTCAGAAAAAAAGTAAAAAAAAATGTTTTGACACTGGGAATGTTGCGACAACTTTGCAAGGTGGCGCAAGATAGCACGAAATACAGAACGTTTCTCCACAATTCATTTATTAATCCAGCCATTCATACACTCAGCTTCCTTGCGAGCGTTCGAGGGCGAGAGTTTAATATATAGTCCGCTTTTAGTTGCCCAAATTTCATGCCCAAAATTATAATTTAGCCTTCATGATTTCGCGTGCTAGCTGTCTTTTGATCCCATAATTGAGATGCCGTCAGCGAAATTCTGGCTAAAATCGTTTCATGGTCCCTTTAACTCGTTTGTTTCTAGTATTTGCACTTCCTGGTTAACCTAAACCTTTTCCACACTTTCTTTTTTAGGTAGGCAATCTTAGTTGACTTTTCTTCTATTTCAGCCCGTGCTTCGTCATACTGCTTCCACGTGTGCTGAACATACAATTACATGTTGTCGACAGTCTCCTTGACCGCCATTAAGGTGTCTACTTTGTTCCTTATTTCTAGAATTCCTGATAACTTTTTATATTCATTCTCTAAGATCATTTGCAAAGATAGCTTCTTGTTCGTTCTTATGCCTTGCAAAACCTTTACTTCCACGGGCTTTTGATGATTGATGAAAAAATACTGCGCCGACTTTACATAACAAGATGAACAATTTAATAAAACGTTTTGTCTCCCATACGGGAAACATCATCAGCGAAACCTTCAAGCAGGAATGAGCGAAAAAACTTCAACAGTCCTATTTAAGCAAGTCCGCGTACACATCGGGGAGGGGGCCGCGGTTGGAGTTGCAAGCCGATGAGACACTTTGGATTAACCATGACTCGACAAACCTGTGTGGACCCCACCTTTCTTCACGCGCCAGAGTGTACGCATTCTCAAAGTCGAAACTGTGACCCGTATTCCGACAATGGTCTACGAGTTCCATCTTCTCGTAGACCAGCAATGGTCTACTAGATCAACAATGGTCGCTCGTTCCTGCTCGACGGTTTCGCTGATGATGTTTCCCGTATGGGAGACGAAACGTTTGATTAAATTGTTTATCTTGTTCTGTAAAGTCGGCGCAGTTTTTTTTATCATTATGATTCCCGGCTTTTGGAATATTTTTGCTTTCGATGATCGGCACGTTTTTCATACCCCTGTTTTCTTTGACGCCTCTTCCTTTTTCTTGTAAGCAGTTTTGGTTACATCCGAGCAAGAAGTTCTGTGATAATTATATTTCAACTGAGCACGTTAAGTACGTATTATTATTAGGGAGCGACTGATTGGGGAACAGGCACACATCAGGCTGAGACATTTGTGGCGGGTGCAGTTGGCACCGGCCACAATAGTGCACAACAATTGACCAGCAACAGCAGCGGCGACGATTGGGAGAAAACAAAACTTGTTGGACACTTAAGCTTCGCCTTCAACTGGAGTGCAATAGCTTCATCGGGTCCCGTTCGTAAAGCCTTTTCATATCAACCCGCGCTCTTTCCCAAGGCTTGCAATCGTGCGTGTGCGCAGTCTCGTCGGGTGCGTCACGTGTCATGTGACGTCACACGAGAGCGTTGCAGGTTGTTTCAAATTCGCACGCGAGGTCATGTGGCGTGAATGTGACACGCGTGACGTCATGACCCTACCGACACGCTAAATGTAGCGAAATATTTTCCTGCGAAATATAGCGAAATATTTTCCGCCGAAATTTAGCGGAACATTTTCCCGCCAAATTCAACGGAACATTTTCCAACCACATGAAGCGGAAAAGTTTTTCTGCAAATAAAGCGTAAAAATTTGCCGCCACATTTAGTGGGAAAATTTAACCCTCGTCACGTAGCTCGTGATGTCACATGGACGTCACCAGGTGCATGGCGGAATTTCCGGTCCCACCGACGCCGACGCCGGATTTTCTGCAACACAAGCTCCTAAACGCTATCGCGTTAAAAATTTATCGCCAATTGCCCCGCAATTGTGTTGCTACGTGAAACGTCCCTGGTTTAGCGCTCCAGGCCTTTTCTCTCGAGCCGTGCCAACAACACCTTGTAGATAAAGAAAGCCGTAGTGTTGAATGAGATGTCGTCATAAGTGAAGGCCAACGCTGGTCACAGATTGGACGCGACAATTGCGTCAACGTTTGGCTCAAACTTGACTCGAACCCTAGCTCTGACGCAGTACTCGTTTTCAATCAGTGTCCAGCATCGGTCTCTGCTAGTGAAGCGCAATTGTCAGCACTAGGGCTTTGACTTCTGGTCGGTGTTGGCAGTGCCTCAAGGTATCGCCACCACTTCTCGTCACCCCATTGTAAGTCATTGACGGACTGACTTTCCAAGTCGGGTCCGCCTCTGTTCACAAACTATGTCGATGTAAGGTATCCGACATTCGCTATAATTTGTGTATGGCGAATGTCGGGTATCCGTCGGGTAGCGAGTAAACTAAATTTATATGTAGGTCACGTGACATCAATTTTCCCGCTAAATCTAGCGGAGAAACTGAGTTTGCGTATAGGTCAATGTCACGTGGCGTTCCATTTTTCCGCTAAAAGTTTTCCGGGGAAGCTGATATTGTGTATATATCATGTGATACGAAGACGTGTGACGTAATTTTCCCCGCTAAACGTAGCGGGAAAATTCGCGGTTACGATTTTTGAGGCTTCACTTTATCTGAAAATTCATTCTACAAACGTTTCACCTTAAAATAAATTATTCGAAAACAAAATGCCGTGTACTCGTCGTACTAACCTGTAGATTTTGAAGTTAGTAGTTAATGCGCTGTCGGTGTCTCGATCGGCACCTCCTCTGTGCCAATGTGATGAATCTCGCCGAGCGCCGCCTTTTTATCCGGCTTGAGATGACGTGTTCCAGGCTACGTGTTGTGGGCTGGCGGCTGTCCGAACGCGAAGATGACGATGATGACGATATCCGCCAGGCGTTGAAAGCAGGAATCCACTTGATCAGCAACTGCAGATAATAAAGTCAGTAGTTAATGCGCTGTCAGTGTCTCGATCGTCGCGCCACTGTGCAAGTCTCTCTCTCTCTCTCTACGGAAAATATGGCTTACCGTGAATTTAATTAATAAGTATTTAGTCAATTACCTAGCTGATGATCTCTTTCATTGTTCTTCCTATGTTGCCTTCAATTTATACATGTAACATTTTCAGCACGCTCCAATTGATCGAACCAGGATTGCAGAGCGCGATGCGTAATGAAGAGTTTCAATTCATTCGTTGAATGGGAACGTATGCGTGAAAGTTGAGCTCCAGTTCCTACAACTTTTAAATTTGTTAGATATTATGTAACGCTTGGTTTTTATTTGTTTGAATTGCTCACTGAAGAAGTTTCCTGCTGTGAAGGAGTCTTTGTTTTCCCGCTTCATTGAATTTATGCACTGAAAAAGATGAGAAAAAACTTAGCCGTGGGTCAGCGCTGGATTTGTGTATTTCGTCTACTTGTCCTTGTGTATCTTTTGCGATGTTTTTTTCCTGATACCTAGTATGCACCGACTAGCCCTACTTTACACTGTACAGGTGAGCTAATTGGAGCTTGTTTCCTAATTTTAAAGTAAGAAAAAGACGGTAACTACATTCGTGTTAGTTTTGTCTTCATCTACGGGCAACCATCATAGCTATTACACTAGGGACTTCTCGCAAAGAGTAAGCAGCGGATTTCGGTCCGTGCGAGCGCGAGCTCAGTCTGCACTCAAAATGATGGCACGAGCTTCCCCTAGCAGCGCAACACTATCGAGCGCTCATCCGTACGACCTACTAAAAGGTTTCAATTAACCTGACCAGTAAGCGGAGTTGCACCACTGCATCGTGCGACAAAGCAGGAAAACAATAATTAACGCTGACTTCCATATTTCCCCAATAGGCCTCTTCTTAAATTACCCCAGCATCAATGAGAATGCAGAAAATGTATGTTTACGCGCCGCGCACGCTTCCCTTCTCTGTATACAAGATTCGAAATAAATATCCAGAATTAGGCGTTGACGAGCGCGCGTGCAAGATGCCATCTGTTTTAGGCTTTTGCTTAGAAGCAGTTACTGCTCCAGACACCACTACGTACAGGGCGTAGACCTACATTTACAATATTCTTTTTAATGCTTGGGTAATTTAGCAATAGGATTCATGTACCTCGCGATCTTTCTGGAATCACTCTCCGGAAAACGAATAAAAATCGGGAGTCACATGTCCCTTCTAAGATTATGCTGTGAGATTTGACTGCACAAAGATACCTGGTGCCCTGCCATTTTGCTTTGTACACCTTACTTTACGAAACGCGAGGCCAGCACAGTAACGCACCAGCCTCCCCGCGTCGTTTCCTCCGCCGATATGTACGCCAAACTAGTATGAGTGCGCCTCGCCAGGGGTAGGAGTGCGCTGCGTAACTTGAGCCGATAAGTGGTATACTACCACTCAAACCGTACCAGCCTCAATGCAAGGCCTCACGTAGTATCCGCACGTTGTTGGTGTTACAATCGGCTCCTATAGTCACGAATGACAATTGATAAGGCGACGAAACTGAAGCAAGCTAATCGTTTAAAAGGGGCGAATTTGCGCACAACACAACATATATTAAGGATAGCGTCGCAGGCGTCGATGGCGGCGAAACAGCGGGTTTGAACACTGGAATCCTTCGGCATGCGGAGTCCTTTATGTACCCGCATGGGTTTCTGGAACATTCGGCGTAGAAGTTTCGGAGCGTAGAACATTCGAAACTTGATCATGCGACCATGCTCTCGAACTTACGAGAACGCAAAGTTGAAAGAATAAATAAAAAAACAATCCTCTGACTGGAATCAGACCGAGACTGGAATCTGACTGGAATCAGACCGAGACCTTCCGTGCGACAGTCAAGCGCGGTAACCATTCGGCAAAGCACGCGCTCGCTCGGCGACGCGCGTGGCAATATTAGGAATCCTATGATGACGAGGTCGTATGGTTCTAAAGTTTGTTAAGCCGCGGTGCGGTGGTCCACAAGAGAATGGTAACTTTAGTGGGGTTAACGCTGTGGCTAATGCGAGAAACCCCTGAGGAATAGAAAGCATTTGTGTAAATAGTAAAACGTTATATCTGCCATGTGCTATAAATTTCACGCTATAAAACTTCTCAACATAGTAAAGTTTTCGTCTTTTTGTTTTACTAACATGAACCAAAATTCAAGGTTTACCGAAGGTACTTCGTGGAACCGAATGCAAAGAAATACGTTGGCCCTAGGAATAAAAGGTATGTCCTCCTGAGATTCTCATTCTTAAAACATATATCATGTTCGTGAAGTCATTACATCCCGCTGGTGTTTCTGTTTGTTCTTGCCGGAAAATACAAATTCAGTGGTGCGAAATATACTCTGTAAAAGGTATCAGCTCAGCAGCAAGGAATCACAATCGCCGCGGATGTGACATTAGTGCAAGCCACTTATACCATTGTAATATTCCCGTCTATAATTCTTCCAGGACAATATTATAATCTGTCCTCGGCTGAAATATTTATTTGCAAGGTTTCGCTGATACTTTTGGAGCAATGGGCTTTGCAGGTGGCGGAAATAAACATTTCAGGCCACCAGTAAAGCCCATAGATACGCTAGGAAAGAAGGCTCGAAAACGTTCGCCGCGATGTACACAAAAGATGAGGTCAACGCGGAGTTGCACTCCCCCGTATACGGAATTACAAACGCGAAAGATGGTACAACTAAGATGGCCAATAGCAAAATGGAAACAAATCTTTTTTTGCGTTCTTGTTTTCTTTTTGCTCTTTTTACCGCTTAAGGTGCCATTACACAAACGTAATAAATGATTCAGTTTTGTAACGCGTCACGCCGCTTCATGTCTACAAAAAATATAGACGAAAACGAAAGCCGCCATAAGAAAAAACAAATATAAACAAATCCAACGAATAAGTTTCCTTGCTGAGTAGACAGACGCGGATAAGAGGGCAGATGTCTTTATGCCTCTTGGTAGACCGCGCGTTTAACTTTTCTTTTCTATATTTTACTTATGAATGCGTGAAACATAGATGGCAAATAAAATAAAACGGATGCATTTACCTTCGGTTGCCGTCGAGAGAAGGTAATGGGGAAAAATCACGCTAAGACGTAAAATATGCAAATACCATACACGTCCGGTTCTTGACAAGAAAACCTCTATAATACGTTGCTGAGGATGAATAATACCTGCCCATTTCAGTTCGAAATCGATCAAAGCAGTGAAATAATAATACGCTTTAGCAAACTGGCGATTCGATGAAGATATACTGCTGGTACGGTCCTTGGGCGGCGTTGTAGCTACTGCTCATGCGCGCCACTGCCGGCAACGATTGAAGCTACAAACCCTAGTCTAGTGTATCGAATAGCAGAAGTGTTCGTTTTCGCCTACGTAATCAGGTAAAACAAATACGAATAGTGGGTGCGTGCCCCCACGAGCTACACAATATAAAATAAACAACATCTGACCTTAACAATCAGCGCCTCGGTCGGAATGTTTGGATGAAGTGGTTCTCTTTTCTTGGTGAGAGAAATTTACTGGGTTATCTTGTTAGCCATTTTACCGGCCATGCCAGCCGTATGCCAAAGGCACGGTCTGCGGCTTGCGAACCGTGCCCAGTGGAGGGATCGGTGGCGGAGTGGTCTAGCGCACACCAGCTCGGAGCACATGGAGCGAAAGCTCGCTTTGCTGCAAAACCCAGGATCCTGGGCTCAATCCCCACCCCTGCCCGTTTCGATCCGGATGAGTATCGTACCGGCGTGCGGTTGTGTATCACTGCTCCGTGATTCACGTCGAATACCCCAGGCTAGCGGTTGTAATGCACTTGCTAAATTTGTCAATAACAGCAGGGACACTCGCCGCCCATGGGGCAGATCAAGTTCTAGGCTGTATAAACATACACATAACCCCTGACCGCTCCCCATATCGTACCAGATACTAAGACCGTGTTCTCGCGGGAATCACGAAAACAGGCAACATGCATGGACGTCGAAATAGGAGAAAAACATCGATTCTACCGATTCGCAGGTGGGTCTGGCTCATGTGAACTTATGTCTCCCAACCAAAGCTATTTTTCGGTACATAAAATAGTATGCACCGTTCGAGGAAAAAAAACTTGTCGTCTACGAAAGAGGACTGCGCAGCGGTGTATTTTTTTGGCTTGGTGCTTTGAGTAGGCGCCTAGAGCGAGTGTTGTCGCTTGGTTGAGAACGTCATATTTTTGTTTTCTTCGTGTAAGGTTTGCGGATTCCTACTAGCGTTTTGAAAGAGTACTGCCGAGGTTAGCAACTTCGTTCATCGCTGCAGGTTCGAACTTCGTACGTACTTTAGCATCAAATGACTGCTGTGACGGCTTGAAGCTGAGCTAGTTGGTTCATGCTTGTTAAAGTGCCAGCTGAACGTTTTAAGGACATACACACAGAGACAAAGAAAGACCAGCGGTCTGTCTGCCTCTTTTGTTCGTCGCTGTATGTGTGTCCTTAAAACGTTCAGTTGGCACTTTAACCAGCATTAACAAACAAATGACTGCTGCTCGTCAACTGAAAACAATGAGCCGCCGAAGAACGACCGCTTTTAAGAAGTGTTAATGGTACTTTCTGCAGTCAGAAAGCAGACATATCTTCCGTAAAGCGTTGCCTGCAGAGGATGGAGCTATGAGACGTCGGGTATCAGACGAAGGACATGCCGTATTGTTTGCCGTAGTGTTTTTTGTTTCGAAATGATTTAGCTTTACCAACGCGCTAACCTTATAATTCACATAGGTCTAAACCATATGCTTTGTCGAAACTACGTCTCCCCTTAAAAACTATTCGCGGAGACGGTTTCTAAAAAATGAAGAACCTAAAACCTGATTCACATGGTGTGATTTTACTTGCGATTTCGCAGTTAGGACAATGCTCATGCGGCGAAACACAAATTCCCAGCTGCGGTTCCCGACGTCGCAGCAGAAAATTTAGAAGCAAAATCGCACCATGTGAAGCGG